TTGTGAACATTAAGTTCCCCTACAATAAATAATCAAGAGATTAGTTCATGAAATACAGACTAAAAGGGCTATACAAAAAGAAGGTAGTTTTTTGAAAGACTGACAAATCCATAGCCTAATTAAGCAGTGAGAAAAGACTCAGATATTTACTAACAATTTTTATAATTTATTTATTTTATCTTATGTATATTGACTTTTTCTGCCTGCATGTACATATTGTACTATGTGCGTGCCTAGTAACCAGGGGGGTCAAAAGAGGGTGTTGGATACCCTGAAACTGGAGTTACAGAGAGTTGTAAGTCATCATATGGCTACTGGGTTAAATCTGGATCCTCTACAAGACAACAGGAGTTCTTAACTACTGAGCCAACTCTTCAGCCCCTACAATTTTTTAGCTAGAGGGACAGAGTAACTGTCTGAAAGCATGCTATTCACCATGGTTCCCCAACTGGCTTCTGTGTACATGACTTGCTGCCCATGACTAAGAATTTGCCTTTCAAACTTGGCTTCTGTCCAGAGTTTTCATCCCTTCCATGCAACAAATGGAACAGGCAGCTCAGACTTTAGCAATTAGGAACAAATCTGAAGTTGGGGTCCTCTGTGCTAGTCATTGCTCTAAGTACTTTACAAACCAACTCATTTCTCCCTTGTAATAGGCTTTTGGAGGGTAATATTGGTGTTTCTTTCGCTTTGCAAACAAAAATGGAACACAGGGAAGCTAGGTGACCTGCCTAGAAACTCTAGATTGGTTTTGGTGCTAAAGACAGTTCAGATTGTTCTCTCCCTAAATCACAGGTCACACAAGACAGTGACTTCCTCCCCAACATTAAAGAACTGGAGGAAGAGGAACCTTCAATGCACCATGACTGCTCCATTTCCTCTGGTCTTCTAGGATCTATCATTAATTGCAAACATTATAGCTCACTCTACATCAATGATTACTTAGTCCCTTAGACACTAATTAAATAAAACATCAGGGGTAACTTCCTAGCCAGAGGAAGTCTGTATCTGGGGAGAAAGAGCAGAGCCCTCCTGGAAAAGAGTGCAGAGAATGAGGTCAAGTTTAACCTGGGGAATAGTTGTGAAATCACAGGGAAATGTTGTGACATGATCTACTTAATAGTGATAATTGCTGCCCAAACACCCTGGTTTCAGCAATAAGGTGTGCTGTCTATATTAGTGCAGAAAAGGTTCCACCATATCCAAGTGACCACAGCAGAAGGCTGTTGTAATTCTGTACCCTTCCTGTAGTCAGAGGAAAGCACAGATGGCCCTGAGTCTTCCCAGCAAACAGGCAGCAAGGAAAAGTCCTTCCCATCTCCAGGCCAAGAATGAGCTCTCTCCACCTGCTGAGGGCAATGTTCAGGTAGGCATGAGGTCTCCGTGGGTTCATCAGAACAAGCAGCAAGCAAACTCCTAGCACGCCTTCTGCATCTTCAGTGACCGCCTCCCTAAGTGTTGAAGACCAGCACAGGCTGCAAAGAATCTTCCCTCCCTAATCCAGGTCCTCTGGAGATGCTAGAGAACCATGGAAGGTGAGGGTCAGTTCTGGGCACTGGACAAGTTAGACTCTGCATCACAGAGAGGTTTTGTGATGTCTACTTTGGGATAAAGTTACAGGTGGGGACTAACTTGCAGAATGAAGCTTTTGCTTCACTTAGAATGATGCTGGCTGAAAACTGTAATGGTGAAAGTGTAACATTTACTTCCTCACCATGCTGGGATTGCCTTTATTTTACTCTGATCAGAACTCTAAGGGGAAGACTACCACTGAGCCAAGACACACCCTGCATATGCTCCCTTGTCTTAAAAGAGCACCCACTAACATCAACTAAGGAGAATGATGCCATCCAGATCCTTAGCACCAAGACTCTCTCCCAGAGAGTCTCACCAGGGCAAGAACTGGGGCCTTGACTGCCCAGATTGAGGACATTTTAAACTGAATCTTTCAGATTGAAAAAAAAAAGCTAATAAGAAATAAAATCTCAGGGTTGAGTCTGTTTGCCCGTTTCAGGGACTGTTTTCTGGAAACTTTACTTACTGCTCTGAGTTTGCTTTTTCTGTCTTGAATGGTGGATTGTCACAATTCTATCATGGATGGATGGATGGATGGATGGATGGATGGATGGATGGATGGACATATGGATAGATAAAAGTCAAGATCAATCAGAGGGCTGTATATCATGGAAGGATAACACATGCCATAAGGGTTAGGGTTAGGGTTAGGGTTAGGTAGGGGAGTAGAGACTGCCTGCAGAGCTCGACAGGCATTGCTACCCAGGACAGAAAGGAATATCAGACAGTGCACACCAGCTTTGTGCAGACAGAACCAATAACATGAGATCATGGTTGGAGGCAAAAATGAGTAGAACCTCATTAGAAGTGAATTAGATGCTTTGAGTCATGGTGACCAGGGAGAAATCAGCTGTGGGTTAAGAGCAAAAGGCTGGATTGGAGTTGGAAGCACATTTGATAGGTTTTGCAATGTCAGACAAGGGGGAAGACACTGCCAAAATCACAACTGGAGACATGGGTCTAGAAGAACTCTACTCTAGTGTGACTAAGCCAGATACCCTGGGGTAGGGGGACTTGGACATCAGAGAACACTTGAGACCAAGTGGCATGTGTTGGTGGAATAGTGTCTGGATAGCTGTGTTCCAGGAGATCCAGGAGATGCAGAAGCCTAAATAGGTAAAGAATAGAGTGAAAGAAAGACCTTGATAGCAGAGTTAGTGGTAGCCTGGAATTCATCTGGTTTGCCCCCAAAGAGGCTGCCAAGGACACCATAGGGCTATGAGCCCACCACTACCACCATGAATGCAGAAGAATCTAGCCTCAGTCTCCAGTGTGAGCCTTAAAACATGGGGTTTTTAATGTGCTGTACCCTTTCATAGCTCACTGTGTTAAAATAGAATTCCAGGGCTCATTAGAGATAAATCCTGCTCTTTGAAGTTGATTCTTTTAAGGATTTTTGATAGAACCGTGCAATAATTGAATGTTTCACAAGTCTACTGAGAACATCTGGCAAAGAATATTAGTTTTGAAACTACATACAGAGTAGAAGAATTTGGTACTCATCTATCTGAACTTTAAGGTTTGGGTTGTTTTCAAATAACAGCAGAGTTCTTTGGTATGTCAACTGGAAGAGGTGTGCTTGCTGCAACATCTAACTTGAAGAGACCTCCATTAATTTTTGAGTGTGTGCACAGAACACTGAATCAAGAATTAAGATGACTACTCTGTAAATCACCTACACGTGAGGTTGAATTTTAGTCTTATCCTGAAGCATTGCATCCCCGTCGGGAACTCAAAGGCATTATAGAACTTGGGGAAGCTGGAACTCTAGAATGACCTGCTTGCAGTAGGTCAGGCAGCAAGCTGCCGTGGCTGCAGCTGCAAACTGCCATGACCCTGAGATCATGTCTTGCAGACAACAAGGAATGAAGACCATGGATTCGAGAGTTGAGCACTTCAACCAACATTATTCAAGAAAATAATAGGAAACCTTGAAGAATAGGGATTTTTAAGAGAGGATGAAGTTTAAGTGTTAGGAAATATGTGTTTTAAATAGTCACAGACAGGCAAACAGAAATGGGTAGGAAGTTAAAAGGTGGCTTTTCTTCTGGTGCATAGATGACAAATTTCTTCCCAGCGCCAAAGCTATCGCAGTTCTCAGAGGTCATCAGGCAGAGAGCCTTGGCCCATGCAGCGCCTGCACACAGACAGGCTTTGATCCATGGAGCATCTTTAACTGTCATCAGAGTTTTTCCAGATGGCTGGGGTCCCCAGACAGTCGGAGGCTTACTGGAACCAATCCCTAACTGCCAAATTTCACGGTCTCCTGCCTCAATCCCATGAATCAGTGATGGCAGCTCATGTGTTCTCTGCTAGTGGTGGTACCCAGAAATCAATCAAACTGGCTGTTCTCTCTCTCTCTCTCTCTCTCTCTCTCTCTCTCTCTCTCTCTCTCTCTCTCTCTCTCCCTCCCTCTCTCTCTCTCTCCCTCTCTCTCTCTCTCTCTCTCTCTCTCTCTCTCCCTCTCTCTCTCTCTCTCTCTCCTCTCTCTCCCTCCCTCCCTCCCTCTCTCTCTCTCTCTCTCTCTCTCTCTCTCTCTCTCTCTCTCTCTCTCTCTCTCTCTCTCTCTCTCTCTCTCTCTCCCTCCCTCTCTCTCTCCTGATCTTTTGTCAAACAATTCTAAGGGCTTTCTTCCATGCTCATGGCAGCCTAGCTGTGTGCTCTTGGGTCTCATTAGAGATCAGAAACAAATCAGGAGCTAAAGTATCATATCTCTTGGCCACTCCAGGTATTCAGAGTGTCTGGAACCCTGCTATTTTTACTGCCTATGTGAGTGATAGAGCTGCCATTGCGAGCAGTCACAGGGTAAGGGCTTCCATAGTCCTGAGAGCCAGAGCATATCCTCACAGAGACAGGGCCAGGTGTCAGCCACCAGAGGTGAGAAGGCTGTGATCCTATTGAGAGTCCCTCCCTGCTTACAAAACCCGTCTTCCTGCTCTGTGTCACCTCTCTCTTCTACCCTACCACTATCCCCAGCAGACAAAATGAGAAAGCCTCAGAAAGTGAACACTTGCCCGTCAGCGTGTTTGTAGAGAGGTCAAGCTTTGCAGTGACAGTAGGAGTTGTGGTAGTCATGACCAAATTCGAATGAAAACTACATTTGTGTGGGACTTTGGCACGTAAGCCTCTCTGTCTTCTCCAATATCTGCAGCTGAGGCAAATCTCATTCCACACTCCCATTATAACAGATGCAGGAGTTAACATGGAGAAAGACTGGCTGGCTTGGTGGCAGTCAGAGCAGGAGGGGTGGGCGATGTGCATGCCACTGCTCTGACTCCCTGTCCAGGGGTCTCTGCAGAGTAAGGGGGGCCAGACAGGATTCGGCCTGAGAAAGAGCAGACATGTAATGAGGAAATGATTCATTCTCTCTGTTGACAGTTACTCATTTAAACTCTCTTGACTCATCACAGCTGCCAGAGGATGCCTCAGTATGACAAGTGACAACCAGAGCTGCTTCTGGGACCCCCCAAAGGACTTCATCCTCCTGGGCATTTCTGACAGGCCATGGCTGGAGCTCCCACTCTTTGTAGTCCTCCTGGTGTCTTACGTTCTGGCTATGCTGGGAAACATCTCCATCATCCTGGTATCCCAGCTGGATCCCCAGCTTCACAGCCCTATGTACATTTTCCTTAGCCACCTGTCCTTCCTGGACCTCTGCTACACCACAACCACCGTCCCTCAGATGCTGGTCAACATGGGCAGTTCCCGGAAGACCATCAGTTACGGTGGCTGTACCGTGCAATACGCCATTTTCCACTGGCTGGGCTGCACTGAGTGCATTGTCTTGGCCGCCATGGCTCTGGACCGCTACGTGGCCATCTGTGAGCCACTCCGGTATGCCATTATCATGCACCGCCCACTCTGCCAGCGGCTGGTGGGTGTGGCCTGGCTCAGCGGTTTTGGCAACTCCTTCGTTCAGGTCATCCTGACAGTGAAGTTGCCTTTCTGTGGGCAGCAGGTGCTGAACAACTTCTTCTGTGAGGTGCCAGCCATGATCAAGCTGTCCTGTGCTGATACTACAGTGAATGACGCCACGCTGGCCGTGCTGGTAGCCTTCTTTGTGCTGGTCCCTCTGGCCCTCATCCTCCTCTCCTATGGCTTCATTGCTCGTGCAGTGCTGAAGATTCAGTCCTCCAGGGGACGGCACAAGGCCTTTGGGACTTGTTCTTCCCATTTGTTGGTGGTTTCCCTTTTCTACCTACCTGCCATCTATATGTACCTGCAGCCCCCATCCAGTTACTCTCAGGAGCAAGGCAAGTTTATCTCCCTCTTCTATTCTATAATCACCCCCACCCTCAACCCTTTCATCTATACCTTGAGGAATAAGGATGTAAAGGGGGCTTTCAGAAGACTCCTGGCAAGAACTGGGAGACTATGTGGAAGGTGAAGGTCTAACCTGGGAAAAGCTACATCAGTTGCAGAACCCTGAGCAGAAACTCTGGGGCTGGGGTGTGTAACAGTGGTAGAGTCCTTGGTTGGCATGTGTGAGGTCCTGAGTTCAACTCTTAGGACTGTGGAAAATGTTTGGAACTGTAGGTTCTTAGAGGAATTTGAAAGCTTAAAAAATAAAACAACTCCACCCCAAAATATTTCACCTTCCATGTGGTGATAATGCTTGAACATCTAAGAGGAAGGTTGGCTTTCAAACACAATCTTAAGAAGCCATATAAAGTCAAAAATCATGTGAATGACTTGGTGTTCACCAGTACTTGTTAGACTGCTGAGTTCCTAATTTCCTAGTTATTTCCTTTTTTCTTCCTTTATTTCCTCCAGCATTTCCAGTTTATCTCTTTTTAAGCCTCTTTCTTCCTGTACAGTCACTCCAGATGTCACAATATGAACCTGACACACAGTCTTACCTATAAAAATCATCTGTTCTTCATAGACTGAAATCTTGATAAACACTGTATTCCCCTCCCCAAAATGTCACAAGAATGGCATTACTACATTCTTCTTTTGTAACCACAGATGATTTTCTTCTTCCTGGGTTCAAACTGCCTTTAAAGAAAGTTTCTCACCACCGAGAACTACTGTAAGTCTGCTGTGGGGCATCTTAGGATGCATGGGTGGAAACAGATACATCTAACCTTTCACTTACCAATGGGCTTATTCCCTGAAGAATATGGCAACAAATGTGATCAATGTTAAAAACAATAAAGCATCCCATAAAAATCTGGGAGCTTAGCTTGGAGATGCTTACCTCAACAACAGAGCTGGAGCCTAGCCTGGTCCTGGCTTTGGTCCCCAGAACCACACAGAGGAAATGTTGACGGTGGTTATTATAACTAACATTTATAGAAAGCCTCTGTGATGTTGGTATATAAGTTCCAATCTGTATGATACTGATTCTCATGATATGACCACTTTTGCAATTCCCCTTTTCATATAAGAATCAATTATTAAAGGTTGTAGTCATCACTCTAGTTATTATAGAGTTCTGGTAGCCAAGGAAACTGAGATTCTCCCAAACATCCTACGGTTACCTCCTTCTATGAAATGGAGCTATTGTTAGTACCTTACATTTATTTGCATTTGGTTTTCTTTCTTTTTTATTAAACGGTTCTTGAAGATTGTATTTGATTTTAAATTACGTGTGTATATGGGGAGTGGGGTATGTGTGTGTGAGTGCAGTTGTGGACAGAGGCCAGAAGAGGGCATTAGATTCATTAGAGCTGGAATTGAACTCAAGTCCTCTGCAAGAGCCTCAGTCACTCTCAGCCACAAAGCCATCCCTTCAGCGCCTTGAATATGTTTTTCACATTGAAGATCCTTTTTATACTTATCTCTTTGTTTCTACCCTGCTGCCTTGAAGAGATGCTATTAATGTAAACAAGCCTAGTAAATTAACAATAAAATTAGGAAAAAAAGAAAATCATCTAATAGTAAAGGCACAGCTTAAATGCACGTCACAGAGCTGAAACAAAAATTGATTTAATAAATGTGAAACAAGCTCATTATAGGGGAAGGGCATTTAAGGTAGCCTGTCCACTATTGTTGAGATTCTTAGTTGAGGTCATCCTTGTAGATTCCTGGGAATTTCCCTAGTGCCAGGTTTCTCATTAAGCTCATAACCTGCATAAGACTGCACTAGGTCCCCTGAATATGACTACCAGTTGGGGACCTTGGGCAATTTATGGGGCTGCTGGCAGTGGAACCAATATTTATCCCTAGTGCATGAAGTGGCTTTTTGGAGCCCATTCCCTATGGAGGGATACTTTCTCAGCCTAGATACAAGGGGAGTGTGGTGAAATCTTGCTTGTACAAATAAAGCCTGTCTGAGGCTCAGAGAATGGAGCTTGCCACTAGCTAACCATAGAGGTTTAGAGGTCTGTACAGACAGACAGGAAGTGAGGTAGATGGGTGGAAACAGGATATAAGCAGGGAAAACCAGGAAATCGCTTTTTGTCAGCGTTTCCCTCTATATCTAACTCTGACTTTTTATTATCTAGACCAGTTAAGACTCCATTTACAGAGGAGGGCCTCAGTCCTGCCCCACATGTGACATGATGATCCCCCCATGGGGAGCCTCACCCTCTCTGAGGAGTGGATAGGGGTAGGATGGGGAGATGGTGGGGGGAGTGGAAGGACAGAGGGGAGAGGGAACTGGGATTGGCATGTAAAATAAGATTGTTTTTAACTTAAATTTAAAATTAATAAAAAAGAAAAGAAAAAAATGTTCTATCAAACAAACAAACAAAAAGGAATGTGAAACATAATGACTGTCTCTAATCCAGGACCACTGTGTTTTTCCCAGTGGGTTTCCATAGAGCTATTGTTGCATAGCAGCTCAGAGCCCTTTATATCCTAGAGTAACATAGAAGAGCCATAAGCAGTGACCCAAATTCAAGCCAAAGGTCAATAAATCAACATGGTAAGAATCACCCAAAAAGGCAGTCAGTGCATGTGTCAATATAGTAATTTGATCTAATTCTGACACTTTTGAGTGTTGAGAATTATAATTCCAAAATAGATGTGCTGACAATCTCAAATTCTCTTTTCTTTACGAAGACTGGGCTTAGTGGTTTGCTTGGCCACTAGAACTTAGTGAGAGATTCTTTAGATCTTCCTGGACAAAGATGCCTGGCAAGTTTTAGTGATGGTCTCAAGTACCCAGAGTCATCAATAAGTCTATTATCTCTAAGACTGACCATGCTGAGAGATGGCAAACAAAGCACCATGTGAGCCAATGCAGTCAACTCCTCACCTCTTGAATGGAACTGGATCCTCCAACCAGATAACCCCCAGCACTGGACAGAAGTACCACCCAGCAGAGCTCTGAGCAAATTCATGGGTCCTCATTATTATCAAGTTCTAGGTGTTGGCATGGGCTGTCAAGCAGCAAAGGTACTTGGAGCAATAGGGATCCCGTAGAATACCTATTTTCATAGACATAGAATGCCACAGGATAAGTATAGCAGACTTCTATTTTTTTAAACATTTACGTTTAATTTATTTTATGGGTGTTTGCCTATTGAGGTCAAAGAGGGTTTGGGTTCTCTAAAACTGTAGTTACAGGTAGTTGTAAGCCAGCACCTGGGTGCTGGGAATCAAACCCAGGTCTTCTGGAAGAGCAGCCAGTGCTCTTAACCACTGAGTACCCCTCTCAAGTCCTGAGAACTTCTTGTACTTAGAGTTATAAAGTATTTAAGTGATTCAACTCACAAGTAAATTAAAGTGTGTTTACATAACAAACTGATGTGGGATAGGAATAAAAACGGATTTTTATAGTGCAGGTCAAATTTTGACAACAGGGAGATAACGTGTCACAATTCCGGTTACTATGATACAGAAAGCAAGCATGTAGATAAATGTTCAAAGTTCTAGATTGAGGCTTGGGGTACAGCTCAGTACTAGCATTCAATCACCATCATTATTGCTGCTGTTACTATACTTTATGTGTGCATGCGTGTGTGAGTGTGTGAGTGTACGTGTGAGTGCCTCCTAAGCAGGCAAAGAGTTTGCACTGAATTGTGTACCACATAGTTTCCTTTATTAAATTAGTCTTTCTAGGAAGCTATAACTCAGTTGGTGGATGCTTGGCAAGCATCTACAAAGCCCTGGGTTTGAGCTCTTGCATCACATAAACTGCATGGTGGCACACGCTTGCAGTACCAGCACTGGAGAGAGAGAGTGAGGAGGATCAGGAGTTCAAGGGGAAAAATAGACTATTTTTAAAGCCAGTTTATCTAAAGGGAGTGTTTAATGGCATGGTTGCTTTGCTCTTGCAGATCCTCCTGTGTTAACAGTTCACCAACCACATTCCCATGGCAAAGGTCCGGAGGGTCCACTAGACAATATGAAACAATATTTCCACTCTGAACAGTGCTGCATGGCTTAAAAGTTGTTTCTGGCCAGGCGGTGGTGGCACACGCCTTTAATCCCAGCACTCGGGAGGCAGAGGCAGGCGGATCTCTGTGAGTTCAAGGCCAGGCTGGACTGATAAAAGTTGTCTCTGTGTTCAGTATGTGTTCATGATTTAGTGCTATGTGCTGCTTAGAGAGGAACTGTTCTTCGAGTGGATAAACCTAGGGTGAGCTGCTGTCAACCATAGGCGAGATGCATTTTCTGTGTTCTATTTGAGTGTGTCCTAGGCGTCAACTCACCACGTGATCCAACCTTCCCCTATGTGAGGCTAACCTCTGCTAGTAGAGCTAAAATCCTTCCTCCAAAATCTGAGTAATGGGATTTTTTTCTCATTAGTCAAAATTGAATCATTTTGAAAAAACAAAAAGGTATTTTAAATGTGTAAAGCATTTATTTTTAGTAGTTTATTAAGTTATAAATTAACTTAAAAATTCTAGATACATTTTAAATTAAGAAAGCAGTACATAATACAATAAATACAAAAATGGGTTTTATAAATCTCTGAGTTTTCAGGTAGTTAAACAGAAAGCATAACTATAAAAATGAAAACAAGTGGCCACCACAGACATGACACCTAGCACACAGCCAGCTACTTACACGGTGCTTTCAGTTAACAGAAAGACGAAAACAATGAGCAAATGTAAAAGAAACGAGGAGAGAGAGGGGGGAGATTAAAAAACAGCATAGGAGAAGGAAAGGACAGAAAACTTTCTGTATGTTGGTTCCATGAGGTCACCAAGAGGGAACACCTGGCCAGCTGAGGACGTGGTAGGCACCGCATCCTCTGGCCTCTCCATGTTGTCACTGTCTTGGCTCCCCACATGATCCTTTGCTTCAGCCCCTAAATGAGAAGAGTCTTGCTGTGGTCCTGATGGTGGAGGAGGGTTTGATAACCATGAAGAATGATATGCACTAGGGCACAGAGCAGGACTGTGGCACCTGGCAGTCCTGTTTCCATGCCTACCAAGAAGGCTCAAAGACAACAGTCAGCTCAGGCTTTTCTTCCTGAAGCACTTCTAAGGCATGTTTTGCTTCATAATTAAAATACATTTCACCCAACCTGTAAAACAGAAAGAAAGCTTTGGGTTAGACTCTTCAGAAAACTGGGAATTAATTAGGCCTTTAAAATGTCAGCTCAGGCCTGGTGGTGGTAGCGCACACCTTTAATCCTAGCACTTGGGAGGCAGAGGCAGGCGGATCTCTGTGAGTTTGAGACCAATCCTGGTCTACCGAGTAAGTTCCAGGACAGGCTCCAAAACAATACAGAGAAACCCTGTCTCGAAAAACCAAAAAAAAAAAAAAAAAAAAAAAAGTCGGGTGGCACGCGGCAGCAAGATGGCGGTGCAGATTTCCAAGAAGAGGAAGTTTGTGGCTGATGGCATCTTCAAAGCTGAACTGAATGAGTTTCTCACTCGGGAACTGGCTGAAGACGGCTACTCTGGAGTTGAAGTCCGAGTTACACCAACCAGAACAGAAATCATTATTTTAGCCACCAGAACACGGAATGTTCTTGGTGAGAAGGGTCGTCGGATCAGAGAGTTGACTGCTGTAGTTCAGAAGAGGTTCAGCTTCCCTGAGGGCAGTGTAGAGCTTTATGCAGAAAAGGTGGCCACAAGAGGTCTGTGTGCCATCGCTCAGGCAGAGTCTCTGCGTTACAAACTCCTAGGAGGACTTGCTGTGCGAAGGGCCTGCTACGGTGTGCTTTGGTTTATTATGGAGAGTGGGGCCATGAGGTTGTGGTGTCCGGGAAGCTCCGAGGACAGAGAGCCAAGTCCATGAAGTTTGTGGATGGGGTGATGATCCACAGTGGAGACCCTGTTAA